TCACATTCCATCATAATCTCCAACAGTTAACACAATTGTTCATGTGAATTCCAACACACATTTTCTGCGTTCCACTGCCTGAGATACACCACCTCACTTGCGCAAAATAATTAAATATGTTGTTCCCACTTCCCAACTCCCTAAAAGTAGACCTACCGTCTGCATCGCTAGCCCGCCTAATGTCTCGTCCCATCCACTTTTGAAACTCCCTTCCAAATCAGCTTTACCCACTGCCACATAACCCAATTCACAATCACATGGTTTGTTTTTGCTTGGGTCTTCCTTCCCAACTTTATTGGATCATGTTTCAACTCAGCTTGGGCCCAGAAATGCCTCCTTCCACCAGCCCAAACTCACATCTACTTTGAATCTTGAGGACAAGATTCTTATTGAGTCAATGAGTATCGATAAGAAGATTAAAAGATCCATTAAAAAAGAAAAAAATGACAATAAATTTTATTGAAGGATTTTAATATTAACTAGGGGTGCAATTAGTAATCATATTTTAGCCTTGTTTGTGTTATTTCCAAATAGGGGCCCATGGCTCATTTTTATTAGTAGGAAACCCTAATTATATATTGTAAAAAACCTTGATGATTGAGGTATGAAAAATCTGAAAAATTTATTCTGATGTATTTTCTTCTTATGCAACTAAGATATATACTGAAGTTTTAGTATAACCTAACATGTATCGCATCTTGATCAATAAATTTTATCAATGAATTACTCTTTGCTTTTAATTAAAAAGTAAAAATAATAACAATATATTTGTGACCTAGTATTGATGTCTAGCTTTATGTCAATGCTATTAAAATAGCATACTTATTGAATACTGAAACGGCCTATTTGAGTTAAGTTATTTTTAATTTGGTCAAATAGCATTCTGGTTAAACCTACACACGCGCCTTTGTAAAATACTAGAAAATTTCAAATGTCTTCATGGCTGCCATAACCAACATTTTATATCTAGGTCGACTTCTTAATTCCAATTCATAATTTAATTAATTTAATTTAACATATATCATGAGTTTTTGTAAGCTTGTGTCAAACTAGAGCCACTTGGGATATAAAAGAAAAAACTGAGAGGGCTGCAGTCATATAATATAACTTTTTATATTTATAATAAATATTATAAAATTTTTATTTTAACTTTTATAAAAAATAATTTAAAAAAAAACTTTTAAGGTTGAGTAGTCTGAAACCCGTACTAGATAGTAATTTTTTAAAAGGGTTTCTTAATGTACCTTATAGGTTACTTACGCACTGCACGAAAATATTAAAATGCCTCTCAGGTTTCGGAGATACATCTCTGAACGCACCACGAACCAACATTGTAGCACATCAAATGAATGTCATACTAAATGATTACTTTAAAAAAATTTCAAGGATACATCTCCAAATTTTTCAACAAATATATTCATAGTCGATCAGTCCAGTGAAAATTTCAGAGATGCATCTTCGGAAGTTTAAGGCGGGATTTTGAAATTTGTCATCACCTTTGCATGTCAGAAATTTTCGGAGATACATCTCCAGAATAATTTGATAAAAGAGAGACCCCTGCACGATCACACATCCATACTTGTTTCTCACTCAAAACCTTCAACAAAAACTCTTCCACTCTCAATCCACATTTTCACTCCAAATCTCCAATCTTATGGTTCATTACATCAAAGGGAGTCAAAGAAGTTGGAATTGCAGGTAAAGATCATTTATTTCAAGCCTTGTTGCTTACTTTAATCTTGTTTTTATCTGAAAAAACGAGCATCTTTTCCTAAAGTGTATCTCTGGAACGAGTATGATATCCAGAAGTGCATTTTCGGTATTAGTCTGTGTTCATTTTTCAGCTCTGTTTACAACATTAGCGCTTATTTACTGTCTGTGAAAATTGTTTTTTTAGATATGGTGCACCCCAATATTTTTCCCAAACAAGTTGTGTCTCTGAATATCAAAGGTGTTTGTGAAGGCGGTAGATGTTGGCAACCAATTTTAAAATGAGAAAGAGTTTGAATGTTGTGATCACATGCTTCAATGAGTTCGTATGGAGGCCTCCAAATAGGAATTTGGTGTGGTTATCCAATAGTCTGATAATGGTTCAGATAGAAGATGTGCTTTTGTGACAATGACGTGCGAAAGAAGAGGGAAATATAAACCTCCTCTCCAAAATTTTAAACGAGACGACACCAGTTTAAGAAAATGTGAGTGTCCCTCTAAGATGTGTAGTTATATGTTAGAAAACAATAACTGAAGATTTAATATCATATGTGGTTTGCATAATCATGATTTATGTGAAAAGTTAGTCGGTCATCCAATTGTGTGTCGACTCATGTCAGAGGAGAAGGAATGTGTTGCTGAGATGACATTGAATTTAGTTCAGCAAAAAAATTAAAGGGGGTGTCACCCATAGATTTAGCTGGCGACGGATGTTTTGATTCATTTTAATTTTCTCTTTAACTTGACAAATAAGTGTATGTAATTGTGTCTCAATATTAATAAAGTGTAATATATTCAATTTCTTAATATTTTAATATATTTTTTCATCTTTCCAATAACATTTGTTCGTTTGTCAAACAAAGTCTTCAAAGAAGTTCTATTTTCAAAAGGTTTTGTTTTCTATCACCGGGACAAGATAATAGAGTGCGGAACCGGAGATTTATCTCTGAAGTCAGCATGCTAGATTCTAATTGGTTAACATTTGTCTACAGCTTCTATAAATTAAGATGTTCTTGTTTTTTATTTCACACAAATAAAAAATTGTCTCAAATGTCACAAATAAATATCATCTGGTTTGTCGTAAATATTTATATCTCCAGCGCGACACTTGGACGAAACTATAAGTTCACCGAGTACCCTCTCTTGCAGATCAAAAATACAAAAGTCCATAATCTCCTACGTAACGGAGACAATCGAAAAATTGTGAAGCTCCAGTACCGTTTTGACAACGGATGCAAGATTGAGTTAACAACTTTGAGCTCAAGACGGATGCAAATATAAGGGTTATATGGAATACATATTTCCGTATCGAAACAAAAGTTTCGCTCGAGTTGGAAGCGACAATTTCAAGATCAGTCGGAGGTATTGTGAAGAAGTTGAAGCGTCCACCTAAATGTTGAAGTGTAATGTTGCATTTTATGTCGAAATCGCCTATGTAATGTTTATTTTATGTTATCAATATTTGTTTTATTTTTTCAAATTACAAGTTTTTTTTTGTTTCTACCTCTACCAATGTTTTGCATACGTTACGAAAATATACTCACGGAAATATACCGGAGATGCATTTGTGGTATTAAAAAAATCAAATAACATGGTGTCACTTAGAATAGCCTACATTGTGCGTATTGAGTGCGTTCAGAGATGCATCTCTAAAATCTAAAGCAGTTTAGTATTTTCGCGTGATGCGTATGTAAGATATATGATGCATTAAAAAATTCTCTTTTTGAATCTATATTACAACAGAATTTTTTGACTCAGTCCTAAAAACCCGAGATCCCTCAAAATCGACCTATTTAGCATCGAATAATCTATTTGAACAGCTCTAGATATAACCTACACCTTTAAAATCCAAATATGTCTCTTAGGAGTCTAAAAATACATCTTCAAATATATCTAAAATTACACCAACCAAAACGTTTTGAGTGAAATACCTCTACTTAAAAAATAATAATAATGTTCGAGGATACATTCGTATAAATTGTCTTCACTGATTTTTGTATGGAATGTTTTCGCATATGCATTTATGTATAATTGCTTGCTTACTGTATTTTGATAAAATAAATTAATTTAATTACAAACTCAGCAAAAAAAAAAGTATAAATAATTTAAATAAAAAAGTGATGTTCAATTAGTAAAGTATTTCCACTAAAGTATTTATACAAGCAATTAGTAATATGGCAAAATATTTGACTCGTAATGTACACCTGCATTCCGAACTTTTTTTTTTAACAAAATAGAAGATGTCTCATTTACAATGTAAATACGTCCAGAATTTTGACTTTTCACCCCAGTGCAGAAAGAGCAACACCAAAAACTAATAGCATGTTTAAATTAACTTGTGAAAGGGTTACAACAATTCTAGAAGTGGGGAATATTGATTCTAAAGTGGCTTTGAGATATCTGATTATTTTAAAGAAAATTTCAAAATCAATTCTACTTAACTATAAATAAAAATAAATATATTGTTAAACTCACTTTTTATATCCAAACAGGCACTAAAGCTACTTTAAAATTTTGACTATATTTTCAGGCAAGTGCTCTAAAGAGTATATGTCTCGCTGTTAACTATTACTCAGAAAATATAGCACTTCTCATCATCGGTAAACAATCAGCTTATCAAAAAAACAAAATCAGCAAACAATCAAATTTGAGAAAGAAAAAAATGCAAAGTTTCAAGATGTGTGCCTTTGCAAAAGAGTTGTATTTATAGACAAAGTTATTTAAATAATTAAATGTAAAGAAAAAAATATTTGGTTCTCCATAAACAGGTAAATCATGTCCTCTTTTAGACTATTATCCGTCTCTCAATCAACATTTTACTCTAACGATACAATTAAAGATAAATTTTAAGACTGAAAGTAAGTTTTCAATGTACATATTCAACCGAAAAAGAAAAAAAAAATTAATGAATCAAAATTCAATTGATATATACGCAAACACCCTTTAACTCTTTAGACGCAGCAATTCAAAAGCTTCAAGTTCACATCATGGGTAGATCGCACCCATCCCAAATAACTCAAACACTATAACACCAAGTGTCAAATTTTTGAGCATATACCGAACACCACAATCATTATTAAAAAAATGCAGAGAAGAGTGATAAGGTTTCAATATTAAACTCAACAAAAGCATAAAGTTATAAGGTATATTTATGACAATTCAACCAGCCAAAACTGCAGGGTTTAATAACTTAGAGACAAAAGATAAATAAAGTTCCTATTTCTCGCCTCAAGCTCAAGGCAGCTTCCATCCTTTCAATTTTATTGCGCACACGTGCGTATGAAAAATTACTACCTGTTAGCAACATAAGAATAAAATACTTGCTATCACCCATAGCCATAGCCAGATCAGAGAATATGACTTTACTTAGGACCAATGTCCTTCAAAGAACATATCTGCTCTTCTCCCATTGCAGACATGACAGAAACCACAAGATCTTTTCCTTCAGCAAATCCATCTTTAATCTATATGAAAGTATCCAAGAAATCAATTAGAGATACAACATGTGTGTGTGTGTCATAAGATCATAAATTATAATAATAACTAGTATCATAAAACCCAATACCTGTGTAAGGAGTGCATCATCAGTGGGAAGTTTCAAATCATCCTTGGTACTTCCGTTATCAGTCAACAGACTCACCTAAAAATAACACACAAATAGGTTAAGAAATGGTAGCTACTCTAGAAGAATATCAAAATTATCTGTCTCTATTGCTTGTTGTAAACGAGTTAGTCATTCATTACATCAGCCAATGGAATTATAATTGTTCATTTTTTCTTTTCCATATCAACCAAGTTATATTCATCCAAAATGAGAAAGATGACAAGGTTGGAAATGCGCCCCATGTCATCTTTATATTGGCTTGTGTATAAAAAAACTTATCTTGAGTTGAAAAGAGTTGTTTGTTAAAGTCAAAAACGAAATTTTTTTAATCATTCCTTTGGTAGAATTTAATGTGAAATATTTGACTTTCTTCATAGAATTTATTGTTGTCATCTATAGACTATAGGGACCTTCCAAAAAACACAATCTCAATTTTCAGGATATGGCTGCATCTTCAGCATTCAGCATACAAAACCCTTTGACAAAATAGGACAGAAAACTATTGTTGTCATCTGTAGCAACCTTCCAAAAAACATAATCTCAATTTTCAGGATATGGTAGCATCTTCAGCATTCAGCAGACAAAAAGTAAGCAACACCCTTCGACAAAATAGATATATATCCAAATTTCTCCTTTTATATTATCTATTTTAATGGCCTAAACTTAATTTACAGTATAGTAAGAAAAGAAAACTTACAAAACCATCCTCAGATATATCAATCAGCTGATAGTCGGTACGGTTCACATGAGGAACCTGCAAATAAAAAACAATGATGATAAAATTGCATCTCAAACCTGCAAATATTATCCACATAAACAAAAGCAAATCTCACTTACATCACAATTGTGAGATGAAGGAACAATATCTTCAAGCTTTTTCCCATTGAAGATATCAATGGCAACAAAGTGACACTTTGCATGCCCATGCTTCCCTGTTTTTGAAGTAGAAACTTCAACAACCTATCAAGATAAAATCCAGAAACAAACACAAAAACAAAGTTAACACAACCGAAAAATGTAAATCATAACAACAAAATGTTATAGCGAAGAACTCATTGTGCACATTCATTCATCTTTGTCTCCCCCCCTTTCTATTAATCTCCAATTATTACGCATCCCTGATAATCCATCCTTATGTACTCAAAAAGGTAAAGTGAACATCATGTTACTCTTCGCAATCAGACTTACCCAATGCTTGGTTTTGGTGAAAAAAATTGATTTTGAACGAATTGATTCTGGTTAAATGTGAGTTGAATGTAAAGTGATTTATGTTGGCCACCAGTGTCAGATCTATATGTAAAACACCCTATCTATGTCTCCACTTAATCCGATCAAATCAAAACAAATCATCTCAAGTTCCTTTCTAGGGTTCATGCGTTACCGGTTTTAACAATCAATTGAATCCACCAAAATCAACACATAATAAACTAAACATGTAAATTAGTATAGAAAAACTTGAGCGAATCCAAATCAAACAACAACACAAATTTCAGAGAAATCTCAGTTCAATAACCACGAATATCAAATGAAAGATCGACTAACAAAATCAAAAAACACGAATCTGGAAGCTATAAAAACCCTAGAAAAAGGGGAAACAAAAACCTTGCATGGCCTGCCTTTGATGACGATGTAACCGTTCTTGCGAATGGTACCGGCCTGCTGAGGATAGGTTTTGGAGGCTCCGGCGTCGGCTGCAGCTTCGAAGTGGTGCTCTTCGTCGGACATGGTTGATGATTTCTCTTTTCTTCTCTGTTAGTGAAAGGTTCGAGGAGTTGAAGAGGAAGAAAGAGTTAGGAGACTTTATGGGTGCGGTGGTCCCTCTCTTATTCTAAACCTAATCAATCACACGTGCAATCCTAGCCGTCCGATATTAATTCCTTTTTTCTTTGATAAGATGTTTCTCCCCTTATTTTCTTTTCTTTGTGGATAGATACAAGTTATATATTTCTTTTAAATAAGTATAAATAAATATAGATAATAACAGTACTAGCTAGATATTTTCGATTTTTTTTTTGGCAAATTATTCTTTTTAGCCCTATATCAAACAGGTTTATTTTAGTTTTTAAATTTTAAAAACGATCCATTAAATTTTTATGTCTTCAAATAATGTTATATTAGTTATTTCTGGCCAAATTTTACTAACGACGTCATTTTTATTTGAATATGTAACCTTTAATTTTTATTTAGGGACGGAAATAATAGACGCAATATTTTTTTGAATTTTAATTTGATTATTTATTTTTTTTTCAAAATTAAAAAAATTTTAAATTCATAATTCTTCAAACATTGTGAATGAGGTGGTACTCTTTTGCCAGCTAAACTCTAATGAGACACTCTTCAATTTTGGGATTACCGTTTTTCCTCTCATTTTCTATTACATCCTCTTCATTTTTTCAACAAACGCCATTCTCTTCAAACCCTAGCCCTCTCCCTCTTCCAGTTCTTCCATCTCAATCCTAAAAGCCACACCCTCTGACTTATTATCCATACTAGCTCCAAAACCTCACTCCAAACCTGTCAACTCCGTTATAGCACGTAAACTCAACTCATGCCTCAAATTTCTCGTCCCATTTCTCCAATAGATTTTGATTCTCTTCGTCGTCGAAAATTGTTTCGGACGAACTCATCGCAGCAAATCAGATATGCGAGAATGATATCATTTGGTGGTCATTGAATCCGTTGTGGAACTTACTCGCTTCACTGTCGATTATGGTGATGACCATGCCGCCACTCACCACCTTTTTTACCCAACCATCATCTCATTTAGTTACAAACCTAATGTGAGATGTTGGATCGAACTCTAGTATGGTCGAAGTCTGTTCGCGAGTAATGCGTGTTGTAGTCGAAGTTTGTTCTAACATGCATTAGTCAATATTGATAGGGTTGTTAGCATGTTGAATTGGGTCTTGCTTGTAAGTCTAATTGTTTAAGTTAGCTTGTACCCTAAGTTAGCTTGTAATGGGTAATTGTTAAAAAGCCCATTAGGTTAGTGTGCTATTTTATTATAAATAGGATGTTAGTTTCTCAATCTTGGCATAAGGAAAAATAGGAAGATAAAATCCTAATTTCAAGGGAGAGAGGTTATTTTGTTATTCTTGTATACTTGTAATCTTGTTCTAAGAGAAAGGAAAGAATAATAGTTTAATAATCAATCCTTGTTGTTTCTTGGTGTTTTACCTTGTTTTCTTTGTTAACCCTAATCCTTGTGAGTTTCTTGATCATTAAGAAACCGGTTATACTTTGTTTAAAGGTATCTGATTCACAACAAATTGGTGCGGTGAGCGTGGAAAAGATGCCTTCAACAAAGTATGAGATTGAAAAGTTCACCGGAGTGAACGACTTCGGTCTGTGGCGCTTGAAGATGAAAGCCCTATTGGTTCAACATGGTTGTTTGGAAACGTTAAAGGGTGAAGCAGCCATGGACACTGCGTTAACGGCAAAAGAAAAGACGGGCATGATCGAGAAAACCCATGGCGCAATATTGTTGAGCCTTGGCGATAAGGTTCTTCGACAGGTATCAAAGGAGACTACAACATCGGGATTATGGGTGAAACTTGAAAGTTTGTACATGGCCAAATCTCTGGTGAATCGACTCTACCTAAAGCAAGCTTTATATTCATTCAAGATGAGTGAAGATAAAGTGTTAGCTGAGAAGTTGGATATGTTCAACAAGCTGATTCTTGATCTTGAAAATATTGATGTGAAGATCGATGATGAAGATCAAACACTATTGTTGTTGTGTGCTTTACCCAGAACACATGCTCACTTCAAAGAAACTCTCTTGTATGGAAGGGAGTCCCTGACCTTTGAAGAAGTTCAATCAGCCTTGTATTCTAAGGACTTGAACGAACGAAAAGGAGCATAAACCTTCGACGGTGGGCGAAGGTTTGGCCGTTAAGGGAAAATTCTTGCGAAAGGATGGTAAGTTCGACAAGAAGAAAGGTAAAAGTCAATAGAAGTCTTATAGTGGCGAAACATCTAGTATTCGATGTTATCACTATAAGAAGGAGGGTCACATAAGAAAGGTGTGCCCTGAACGCCTGAAAGATCATGGAGGTAATGGCAATGCAATCATTGTTCAAGATGATTTTGACTCATCTGATGTTCTTGTGGTTTCAAGTGGCGACTCGAGGAAAGAGTGGATTATGGATTCAGGTTGCACTTGGCACATGACTCCAAACAGAGATTTGTTCGAGGAGCTATGTGATCAAGATGGTGGATCTGTGCTGCTGCGAAACAAAAAATCTTGCAAAATTGCAGGTATTTGATCTGTGAGATTCAAGCTCCATGATGAGTCAATAAGGTTATTGACTGAAGTCAGGTACGTACCTGACTTGAAGAGAAATTTGATTTCTCTTGGTGAATTCGACAGAAAAGGATATGTTTTTCAAGGAGAGAAAAGTATCCTAAGAGTCATGAAGGGGTCGAAGGAAGTCTTGAGAGGCGTGAAGAAACAAGGCTTGTATACCCTTGAGGCTTAGGTTGTAAGTGGTTCGACAAATGTTGCATCCACGAAACTTATGTCGAAGACAGAATTATGGCACATGAGATTGGGTCATGTCAGCGAAAGAGACCTGGTCGAATTGGGGAAGCAAAACCTGATAGGAGGTGACAAAGTCGAAAAGTTGGAATTTTGTGAATCTTGTGTATTTGGTAAATCCTGCAGGGCGATGATCTTTGGGGGCCTGCAAGGAATCCTTCACACTCAGGTGTAAGGTACTTTCTATCCATCGTTGAGGACTATTCCAGAAAGCTATGGGTATTCATTCAGAAGATGAAGGATGAAACTTTTGAGAATTTCAAAAGTTGGAAGATTCTGGTCGAAACTCAAACTCGCAGAAAGGTTAAGAGGTTGAGAACCGACAATGGCCTTGAATTCTGCAATGAAGCGTTCAACAGTTACTGTGTTGAGTCTGGGATTGCAAGATATAAGACTGTAGCAGGTACTCCTCAACAAAATGGCTTAGCTGAGAGATTCAGTCGAACAATCCTTGAAAGGATCAGATGCATGTTGGTTAGTGCTGGATTGAAGAAGGTGTTTTGGGCCGAAGCTGTTTTGACAGCAACTTACCTGATAAATAGATGTCCCTCGACTGCCTTGGGAATGAAGACACCTGAAGAAGTTTGGTTGGGACATCCACCTAGTCTCGACAGACTGAGAGTATTTGGTTGTGTGGCCTATGCTCATATTAGGCAAGACAAGGTCGAACCTAGAGCTTTGAAGTGCATGTTCATGGGATACCCTAAAGGAGTCAAAGCTTATAGGCTATGGTGCCTAGAGTCAGGTCACAAGAGGTGTATCACCAGTCGAGATGTAGTTTTCAATGAAGCAGAGATGGCTTTCAAGAAAACTAATGATGCTGACGAAGAGCTGGAACAGGGAGAAATTCCTGTTGAGGTGGAGCATGTTAATGCTGAATTGTGTACCCCAGATGAAGTCGAAGAAGACGCAAAAGATGATGTCGAAGATGAGGAGACTGATAATGACTACCTGCTAGAAAGAGACGGGTCGAGGAGAGTCATCAAGCCACCTCAGAGACTTGGGTATGCAAATCTTATAGCTTATGCCTTAGTCTCTGCTAGTGAGGTTCTAGATGAAGAACCCAGAGACTATAAGGAAGTTATAAGGAGTCGAATGAAGACTGAATGACTGAAGGCCATGGATGATGAGATAAAATCTCTTTATGATAACAGCACCTGGGAACTGATCAAGAAACCTGTTGGAGCCAGGTTAGTCAGTTGTAAATGGATTTTAAGGTACATTAATGGGTCTATGAATAGAGTTCTAATTTATGGTGGAGCCTTGGGTGAATATAGTAAAGCAGCAATCGAAGGATATGTCGACTCTGATTATGCAGGTTGTATGGATTCTAGAAAATCTATCTCTGGATATGTGTTCATTATGTTTGGGACAACAATAAGTTGGAAAGCAACACTTCAGAAGGTCGTTGCCTTATCAACCACTGAAACGGAGTATATTGCCCTAACTGAAGCTGTGAAGGAAGCATTATGGCTTGAAGGTTTTGCAAAGGAGCTAAAACTTTAAGGTCAAGTTATCACTGTTAAATGTGATAGTCAAAGTGCAATACACTTGTCGAAGAATTCAGCCTATTATGAGCGAACCAAGCACGTTGATGTGAGGCTGCATTTCATCAGAGGGGTAATCGAGCATGGAGAAGTCCAAGTGCTGAAGGTTTCGACAGATCATAATGTTGCTGATATGATCACCAAGACGTTGCCCAGTTGCAAGTTTTTCCATTGTATGCAGTTAATAAAGCTGCAAAAAGAAAGCTAGTTTCTTGATGTTATAGAGTTAGATCCAAGGTGGAGATTTGTGAGATGTTGGATCAAACTCTAGTATGGTCGAAGTTTGTTCGCGAGTAATGCGTGTTGTAGTCGAAGTTTGTTCTAACATGCATTAGTCAATATTTTTAGGGTTGTTAGCATGTTGAATTGGGCCTTGCTTGTAAGCCCAATTGTTTAAGTTAGCTTGTACCCTAAGTTAGCTTGTAATGGGTAATTGTTAAAAAGCTCATTAGGTTAGTGTGCTATTTTATTATAAATAGGATGCTAGTTTCTCAATCTTGGCATAAGGAAAAATATGAAGATAAAATCCTAATTTCAAGGGAGAGAGGTTATTTTGTTATTCTTGTATACTTGTAATATTGTTCTAAGTGAAAGGAAAGAATAGTTGTTTAATAACCAATCCTTGTTGTTCCTTGGTG